CGCCCCTCACTTCTCTTTCTCACACACACAGGTATGTACACAACTGTTAAATATTAGCGCTGTGGTATGTTGCAAAGAGTGCTGTAATGGAAACTTTTTAAAATGTGTTTTTTACTATTTTATTCACCACTAACTGTGTGTGATGTTTTACGCAAGCAAACCAGCTCTTTGAGCTTCCTTTTCTCCTTTCAAAATAGAAATACATTTTATATTTGTTCATCAGGGTGTTGTGAGGTGATGTCTGACAGTACTGAGTGACATTAGTAAGAACCCCAAGTCAATGTACTTATGCCTTAGGAGAGAAAAAAATAACAGTAACTCATAATCTCACAATTCAGCTAAATTAGTACATTCTGCATTGGATAAGCTTTGATACTTTTTTGTATATAAGCAATAGCGGATCGATTAAATTTCAGTAACATTCTGTGGCAAGCTAGAATTAATTTTCAAACTCATTTTCAACGGTCTAAATCAAAGTTTCAACAAAGAAGAGTAGGAAGAGTTGATAATGGGAAAAAATTCATTGTGGTTTAGTGTGTAGAATTTAGAGGTAGAAGGATTTTAACTCAAATTATTTCTGCCACTTATGAATTACATAACCTTGGAAAACTTTGTTAATACTTATATCCCAATTTCTCTTTTGTAAAATAAGGATGATAATATGTGTGCCTTAAGGCTGAGTCTGGGCAGGGTTGTCTTGTAAAATAATCCTTTAATAATAAAGGGATGAAAAAGGTACAGAATCCATGGAAGGAAGTTGCAGGCTCTCTTGTCTTCAGTGGGGAGGATGAATAAGAGGCTAATGTTAATCCAATGCAATTTTGACTTCATAAACTGCTAGTCTTATGTGAGACCATTACCTGGGGATTGGATTATTCCTGTGTGTGTTCTCTTTTTCATTTCTATTTCCAATTCGTTTTATCATTTATTCTGTTTCCACCAAATAACTCTTACTTGTAGTTTCAACTTTTACCTTACTTTATATCGTGTATAATGTGACATAAGTTTCCCAGTTTTTCTCATGATTTTAAGCTGCTGATCCCAAGGAACTGTCTTTCTATCTTAATATGCCCTACTTCAATTTCCAAGACAAAGAAATGTGACTGTACCTGCTTATATTTTATTCAAAATATGGCATTACGGGCTTCCCTGGTGGCATAGTGGTTGAGAGTCCGCCTGCCGATGCAGGGGACACGGGTTTGTGCCCCGGTTCGGGAAGATCCCACATGCCCCGGAGCGGCTGGGCCCGTGAGCCATGGCCGCTGAGCCTGCGCGTCCGGAGCCTGCGCTCCGCAACGGGAGAGGACACAACAGTGAGAGGCCCGCGTACCGCAAAATATGGCATTATTGGTGACTTGCTACGGTTTGGATTGGATGTCGAGTCTCAAATCCACACTTGGGCCAGTCAACAAATGCCTGGATGTAAAAAGGAGGGAAAATGTGCTCTTATGGTACCAACTGCCTTTTCTGGCTGCCCCTTGAGTTGGTGATTTTGGGCAGAGTCAAATTTTCTTAGAATTAGCTTACAGGTATCTTGAGTGAATGTCAGATGAGATAATTATTAAATTTAAAGTCCAGCCATGCTAGGTACACAGTACATGTACTTATTATTACTACTCTTGTTATTATAATTAAAAATTGTTAGTTGAGGACTATTTTAGTCAAAAACTGTGGTGGAAAAATACTAAGAAAAATATGTAGTTTCTTTTAAAGGAGGTGGTAGATATTTTGATGCCCAAGTATGAATTTGAGAGTAAATTTTACCCCCTAGTGTATTTTATATTCATTGCAAATTAGGAAAAAAGAAAACTTGCACACTGACTATTCTATGTATTTCTTTACTTATCCATAAGAAGTTCTAGTTACAGCTTGACATATATGATTTGTAGGTGTTATTAGTTTCTAGGGAACTCTAGGAAATAGTACCTTCTATGTTAGTTTGGAAATAGGGAAAAGGGCTTTCTTTTACTCTTCTTCTAGCAGAAAATCAATTTTTAATTATAGAATAAATATGCAAAGGATAATTCAAAGAAGGAAGCAAATGTCAAATGCTCATATTAATGAATATTTCTGTATATGTAAGTCACCACAATAAGTCTAGTTAAATATGTCACCATACATTGTTATAAACTTGTTTTTTGTGATGAGAACTTTTAATATGTACTCTCTTAGCAACTTTTAAATATGCAATACAGTATTATTAACCATAATCACCATGCTGTACATTACATCCCCATGATTTGTTTATTTTATAACTCAAGTTTGTACATTTTGGCCCCCTTCACCCATTCCCCCCCACCCCAGTCTCTCATCTCTGGCAACCACTGATCTGTTCTCTGTGTCTATGGTTTGTTTTTTGTTTTCTGTTTAGATTGCACATATAAGTGAGATCATTTGGTATTTATCTTGTCTTTCTCTCCTTTTTTTTTTCTTTTGACCGCACGTCATGGCATGAGGGATCTTAGTTCCCCAACCAGTGATAGAACCCTTGCCCCCTGCAGTGGAAGTGCAGAGCCCTAACCAGTGGACCACCAGGGAGTTCCCTGTCTTTCTCCTTTGGATTTGTTTTGAAGTAATCTAGTGTGCTGGAGAGATAGATCTGTGAGAGGAGAGATAACACAATTGGCACGTTCTGTAGCATGTGATTAGAATCCTGGCAGAGCCCTCTGGCTACTTAAAGTAGCAGACACCCTACTTTACTAGGGACACGGTAGTAACAATGCATTCATGTAGCAATGCTCTTCGTTCTTTAAAATAAAAAGGAAATTAAGAAGTGAACTTTGTGTGCATGCGCGCACACACACACACACACACATACACACTAGTAAAAGTTGGCTAGTGACATGAAATTCTAGTAGTTCAGCCAGAGTAGGAGCTCTGGTGCCTGCAGTTCATGGTCCTGGTCCATGGTTTGCCAGTGCCCATCAATTATCAATTCTTACAAAAAAGCTTATACAAGTATATATAACTCATCTTTTAGGATTCTTCTTGTTCCAGAATGAAGGTAACCAAAGCAGAATAAACGAACGTTTAAAAATTGTTTCCTGATCAAAATAATGGATGAATGTGCAAGCATTTACAGGAGATTCAGGAGCAAAGTAAAATGGTACTCCATTTTCTCTCCCTAAGAACAAAGTGAGATGAGAAGATGACAGGGAAAAATTGATATTTCCCAAGGAAAGGCTTGTCTGTTAAAAGCTGTGTGGTTCTTATAAAATTTATATTAAAAAAAAAACCCAGGGATGAAGCTAGGTAACAATTTGGGTCATCACTGCCCATTTTTACGAGTCAGAAATAATGGTCTTTAAGATTAAAAATATCTTGAAATTTAAATATTTTTTAAAAATTTGAGACAGCCCCAATCCTCATCACCTCAGTAATGAAGCTTTGTTACTCTATTGAATCCCAAGTCCAAACAAAAACACTCGCTAATTGTGTCACTCTTTTCATTTTTCTCTAAAACAGTGAGGGCTGTGAGTATTAGTTACTAATGATCTGACTAGTCCATTATATGTATCATTTTCTTTGATGTGTCTCATTTTAAACAAATTGTCTGTATTTCAACTCAAAGATACAAATCATAAAGAAAAAAGTCATCCTTTTCAGAGACTTAATCATTGCTTTATTTGACTATTCTGAATTCCTGGTACATCACAGATGCAATGAATCTGTTTAAAAATTGACTCTTCAATATTTTTAAAATATTTATGGTATAAAGTGGGGTGAAGTGTATTTTAAAGGACTAAGATTTCCCTACATTTCAATGATACAGGAGGAGAAGAACAGCAGTTGCCTCCTGAATGTTACTTGATGGGTTTGAAACATGAGTTTTTCCATTTACAAACAGTGTGGAGTTGGACAAGTCAATTTAACCCTTAAATTGTCTTATGTATAAAATGGGAGCAAAAGTAATATCTACTTCATAATGTTGTCCAGAGGATTAAATGAGGTAGTAATGTAAATGGTTCAGAACAATGCCTGGCAGATAGTAAGTGCTCGTTCATATCAGTTACTCCTATACTCTCTGTTATTACTGCTTCTAGTACCACCAAAACACTAAGTATGAGAAATTTCTCTAGGGAACAGAAACTCAAAGTATTCTAACTATGAAAAGTAAAGGTTTTTTTACATCCCTAAAATAAAATCACTTTGTTCTGGCATATGCAGAGAAGAGCTATTTGAGAATATTGCTAACATCTCAGATGGTTTGTATAAATGAATATTAATCTTTGCAAGAAGGTTATTTATTTTCCTTTTGCTTCAAACACTCTCTTACCACAGAGTTTAATTTTTCATTATAGCTCATACATTTTGAGAAAACATGAATGCTAATATTTCATGCTATTTTTAAAGTTAAAGTTATAATAAGCTAACTGAAAATATTCAAGTTATGGCAATGTGTACTTGATCTCAATGCCATTTTGAGATAAATGCTTAGGATTTCATTTATTTAAGTCAGTGTACTAGGTCTGGTGGTTACATCATATGTCACTAGGTCATGGACATTGTATTTCAGGCTTATAGGGGGCTTTAAAATAGCACAGTTACGCTGCACAATTATATGTGATCTATGATTTTTCACCTTTCAATGCACATCCTACCTCCTATTGCTTCCGCATTTTCACATATATTTTATATATGAAATATCTATATATTTTCATATATATTTATATCTTCACAACTGACAGATAAATGTATTTGCTCTCTTTACAAAAATTTCAAGGTGTTCTGGATGTAAATATGTCATAAATACTCCCTACATGCCCTTCTTTCTATTTTCCTTTTCGATTTTTTTTTAACATCCTCTCTTCCCCTCCCATCTTCTCTTTCACTCCTGGGGATGATGTCAGACTGAAAGCCCAGCAGAGGGTTTTTTTTTTTAATGAGAAATGTTTATTGAACTGAAATGAACTGCTATATGATGTTGCGCTAAACCAGTTCCTCTGAGTCCAAGTGGTACTTCTAAATCTTTCCAGATCTCAACAGTTCTACTTAAAACAGGAGAACACTGGACCAGTTGGTTAATCACTTCAAAGTCTCAGCACCATGTCCCAGGGCCTAGGAGAGTTGGATGCTGAGGAGGAATGCGTGCCACGGAGGCTTTGGAAGCAATGCCCTGTAGCTAACAAAGCAGAAGGGCAAAGGAGCCAGGAACAGATGTGACCTGTGAAGGAAGAGCAGAGGAGAGGGCCCACATGCTTGTGAACTGGGAGAAACTGGGCAGGTAAGTAAGTATATTGGCAACTGTCTAAGTCAAGCTTCTAAGTGGTTGAGAAGGGATTCGTCAGTATGTGGTGGGATGAATTGGGAGATTGGGATTGATGTATATACACTAATATATATAATATGGATAACTAATAAGAGCCTGCTATATAAATAAATAAATAAAATTTAAAAATAAATAGCTGAAAAGAATCCCAAGTTATTGGATGGAAATTGGAGGTATTGGAAAGATTAGTATGAACTCATGGATTTTATTTATACATATACACATAGAAATAAAAATATGTGTATATACAGCCAATTTTTGTTATCATGGTAGCTACTATGATCTATAGAATTGCTGTGATCATGGAATTGGCAAATACAGAACCATTGCTCTTAGGGAAAATACAGTTTGGTTCCTGCAAGCCTCTGGTCATATTTTCATCAACTGATCAATACATAACTTTGTTTTAAATGTGTTTCTGTTTAAAGACACTTTATTTAATATGTATTGTTGGTTCATGCCCAGCAGCATTATAACTCATGCCTGAAGCTTATTCTAACACATATATTTACGCTGTAAGACACATCACAGGCTTCCTGTACTTAGAAACACTAGACAGCACTCCAGCACTACCCTTGGGGGCTGTTGTAAATAGCAAAAATCACCAACAGAAGCAAAATGCAAAAAACACGTAGTGCTAAGTAAACCACACACACACACACAACACACACACACACACACACACACACACACACTCGTTTAGAGTATGAGAGTTGAAACGGGAATACAGAGCATTGTTTTATTTGACCTCAGCTGGGAACGTGTGTGTAGGGTGACTCAAATATTTTACTATTCTGTGTATTTCATGAATGAAGCAAAAGCAGCCAGGTATTGATTTGGGGATTACAAATAAATTTTAAGGAGTAGGCAAATTTTTAAAAAATGAAATCCATGAATAAAGAGGATCAACTGTATATATGTTTATATACTGGTACCTATTTCTTAGCTCTGTCTATTGGGAAGGCTTAGAAGCACTGAGCTCATCCGGTGCCAGGGTAAATATCATCCTCTATTGAAAGGAACAGGACTTAAATAAGAAAAGTACCAGATGAGCCTGGAATATTGTATTGTATTAAAGAATAAGGAATAGGAAATATTCAAGGAATAAGGGAGCACATGAAAAGAACACAAGAGCCAGCTTGAAGGGGCTCCCACTGGCTAAATTTAGGACAATTTCAGCACCAAACAAATAATGAGAAAATCAGACCACAACCCACTACATAAAGTAGGAATCCATTAAACTAAATGTATATGTATGTGTAAATATGTGTGTGCGTGAAAACTGTTCAGAAGCTTTTCAGGAAAATCAACTAATACAAGAAGAAAAAAATGATAGAAGTTATATAATTACTACTTGACAGCCATCATAGTAGTAGTTGATAAACATGAGAGTCATCAATGGATTCTAAGGGTGGTTAGAAGACATTTGATGAAGAACAGGATGTTAGCATAATATAACAATATTTTTAATGAAATATTAATCATACCTTCATAACAATGAAATAATGGCATAGGATTTTTAAAATTACTCAAAGACATTTTTCAATTAACAGAAAATAAGTTTTAAATCTTAATTTTGCGGATTTTGTTCTATTTTTTTATATAATATTCTTTCACTGAAGGTTTTTATTTTATTCAGTGCTTCAATATATTTTTATCTCCCAACTGAATTGTAACTCCCTGGAGGACAAAAACATACCAAATTCTCCCTAGGCATTGTTCTCAGTAACAATCGTAGCTAAATCAACTAAATGTTGCTGTACTACCACCATCGTTATGATCATCAAGGTCTATTTCACAATAGATACCCATTGATTTGTTAAGCCAGAGACACTGCCCTCATATTGGGATAAGCAGTCCCATATTTTTAGGCACAGTTTCGTATGCCACCCCAGTCCTCTGGTTCCCATGGGCTGTTTCATTTTAACATATGACCCTATTACATGGACACTACTCATTGTCCAGAGCTGAACCGCAGACCCAGCTAAGATACTCATGTAGTTTTCTTAACCTTTTAGAACTGAAACAATGGCCCTTCCAAGGTGGCAAATGCTATGAGGTATGAGATCTGAGGGTCATTGGATATATGTTGCTTAACACATGGAAGAAACACCCAGAGTGATAGATTACTAAACAATAGCGAAGACATAGGTGGATGCAAGATGAAGAGATTGAGCCTATGGTGTCTGAAATTCTTGTCTAATTGATGTGGAGGCCTAGCTGCACCCCTACCCTTCCCATAACTTTGTTACTTCACTCCTCTGTTTACCTTGTAAGTTAATACATTTCCTCCTCCTCAGCCAGTTGAGCCTCTGTGACTTGCAAGAAAAAAAAAAAAAGTCTGGTTAAAAAATTATCTTCCGCCTCATCATATTTATCAAAATTAATGAGTATCAAATATGTTTGAGGTAATAAAATCTGCAGAAAGGGTGTATATATAGTACCTAGATGATATAATATTCTGTAAATATTATGTAAAAATGTAAAATAGTTACTTTTCATGGACAAAAAAAACAATTTAGAGAGATATCAGAAAAAAGGAGCCAAAAGTTAATGGTCAGCAAAATGATTTTCTCCCATTGGAGTCTAAAAATGCTGAGACTACATGAACCTGTTTTTCACAGCTTTTATTTGGCAAAGGTAGAAAAGCAAAGGATGCTATAATGAATTCCTTCTTCAACATATATGTCACAGAGAGATTTGTGATGCGTTATTGTACTGCTTATGAAGTTTGCATTACTTTCCTCAAGGTATAAAATGTTGGAGAATACAAAAGTTTACACAAAACCATCTTTAATTTCCCAATTTTAAAGTACCAGCACTGTTAATTAATTATTATAACAAAATGTCTATAATGTATGAGTGTAATAGGTTGTAAGTGATTTAAGAAGTGAAAATAAACACGGGAACAATAAAGCAGAAATAACCCTGAAATGCAAAGAGTAGAAGCTAACTAATGTAAGGCATGGTGCCCAGACCCATACAGCGGGCTCACCACCCGCAAGTTCAGCAGATTACCACATTTTCCCATCTTAACGTTGTCATTTGTAAAATGCAGACAGTGATAGGCGTCATCTCATAGTGTTATTGTGAGGATTAAGTGAATTAATAGGCATAAAGCTCTTAAGAATAGTGCCTGTCATGTATTTTCATATTAGTACATTTTAATAGATCATTTTTATTTATTATGCTATCATTGTAAAAAATGGATTATTAAAATGAAGAGGGGAGGGGGGCAGAAGTGGGTGGGACTATAAAGGCCAACAAGAGAGCTACTTTTGGTGACGGAAATGTTCCGTATCTTGGCTATTACCAACGTCAATATCTTATTTTGCAAGATGTTACCATTGTGGAGACTGAGAAAAGGTACATGGGATCCCTCTGTATTATGTCTTGTATTACAACTGTACATGAATCTACGGTTGTATCAAAACTAAAAGTTTCATTTAAAAATGCCTATAGACATAGAGACATATTACACTCTAGCGGGGTAATATGAATGAAGAAAATATTTAGCATGTTAAAACAAGATAAGTATTAATAATAAGACATAAAAAGTATAGAGACATGAGTTCAAGGGTACAGAGTGTTAGGGTGCAATATTAAACGAAGGAAAAATATCAAAGAACGTCACATCTAAGTAATGAATTCAAGAAAGCAGAAACTAACACACCATTGTAAAGCAATTATACTCCAATAAAGATGTTAAAAAAAAAAAAAAGAAAGTAAAGGAGTCAGTTCTGGAGTTTTCTGTGCGAAGAGCATTCCAGCAAGAGGGGGGAACAGCATGTGTAAAGACCCTAAAAAGGCCAGTGTGACTGGGAAGATATGATAGAGGAACTGAGCAATGGGATTTGAGGTCATGGAGGAAGCTGAGACTCGATCACATGGTGTTTTCTATAATACCATATAGGCTTTGGCTTTTTCTCTTTATGAAATGGGGCAGTTAAAAGGAGGGAGGTGAGAAATTCAAACAGGATGCTTATAATCCAGAACTGATTTTATCCTGACCCAACTGCCAGTTTCCAGACTAAGATCCAGTGAATGTGCTGTGAAGCCCTGCTCTTCCCATTAGATTCCTTTTCTGCTTGTTTCCACATGCGTCCTTATAAAATCCATCATACAAACTCCCCACACTTCTGTGTTTCCAGCAAATCTCTCTGTGAGCATAAGGACTTCAAACAAACAAACAACCTACCATGATAAATATTATATAAGGGAGACCAAGATGTTCCAGACAATTTTTTTCCAACAACGTTTTGGTAGAGAAGAAAGTAAAAGTAGAAAAAAGTGATAGAGCAAAATATGGATGTGACCTAAGAGATGTCAACCATGTTCTATGATGGAAAAAAAAAAAGATGAATTCTAACAGTAAAATAGGCAGTTCTTCATGGGGGAGGCATTCAAACTGAATCTTGAAATATATGTAGGATTTCACTAGGCATAGATGAGCTAAAAGCATATTAAATACAGAAGTTTTGCAGAGATGAAGGGTTGGAAACACAATGACTTTCAAGAGTACATTTGGCTAATATTAATTTTGTCATACATTTTTGTCAGTTTTGACATTTTCACTATAAGATTAGTGTGTGGCTGTTCAAGGTAAATTAGGTAGAAATAGTGACAATTACAGGAAATATTACTTTGGTGAGTTGCTAAGTTTGAAGAGAAATCTTAAAATCTTTGCTTAAGAATATGTGTTTTTGTAATGTCGATATTTTCCAACCTGATTTTCCAAAATATTTACCTTAGAGAACAAAATTATAATTCATAGAAATTTTTTAAGAGCACAGGAATTTGATGAAACAAGATCTTGTATTTTATAGCAGAAATATTGCTCTGTTTATGCAATGAATACATTATGCCTTGTTACGCCAATGTAATTAATTTTCATATAATAGCTTTAGGGAGTAATTCTAAAAGACAATGAACAGAAGAGCACAGGAAGATACCATTAATCTTCTTTATGGAATAAATTCCAAAATATACCAAAAATACACTAACCCAAAAGGGTTTATGAGCTTTAAAAATGTAAAGTGACGTCTAAATTCATTCTTTTATAAAATCATTCTCTCCTGATGCCATAGTAATATGCTAATGTAGTATAAAAATATATAGCAATAATTTTCCCTTTAAATTTATTAAGACTAGATACATGTATATGTATAATTGAATCAGTTTGCTGTACACCTGAAGCTAAGACAGCATTGTTAATCAACTCTGCCCCAATATAAAAAAAAATGCAATAAATAAATAAATAGATTTATTTAAGAATGACAACTAAATCTGATGACTTAACGTTAAGTCCAAGAGAAAGAATGGGATTAGCCCTTGGAAAGTGTGCTGAGGCATGCTGGGGGAAAATTCTCCATCAGTCTCTCTCACATTTCTGCACACATGAGCAAGGAAAGTAGTTGTGTTGTTCCGCATTACAAGAATATTTGTATAGCAAATAATCTTGGAAGAAAGAAATAACACCTCGCTTCAGAGCAAAGGGCAGGTTTGTTTACAGCCTTTGAGCTATAGATAGTGTCTCCCTCTGGAGCAAAGGGCAAGTACACTTACTGCCCGTGATAATAAGCGTAATAACTCCTTTTGGAGGAAAGGTCAAGTCTTTTTTGCTGTCCATTAAAAAAATATATTTGGGATCACGATTTCTCTCCTGTAATAAACCCATTGCATATGCAGGTGTTAACTGGCCATCTCCATGCCGCCTTGTGAGAATTGGGCTTGGCAAACTTGTACAAGAAAACTCTAATATTCTGGCTACTGCTATTGCTGTGGGTAACAAAGTCCTTTGTTTCTAACCCAGGAGTTGTGTTTTTTCTGCCAGCATCCATGTAACTGTGGCAGGTTAACTTGTTAATTAACTTGCTAGTTTGCAAGTAGATTAAAAATCTCAGTCACTTTACAGTTCTTGACAAGATGATTTCTACCTTGTGTTGAGGGTATTATTATTATTATTATTATTATTACATTATCTTGATTTTTCACAACAGTTTTTTCAGCACATTAGCAGTTCTTGAATTGCAGAAATATGGTCTCAAATTTCTCTGTCATATAGGGTATTAGAGATAGTGCCCAGAGCTACACTGCTCCAGACTTAGGAACACTGAAGACCAGTAAAATTTAATATGTACAATATTCTTAATCTAAGGAAAACCTGCTATTTGCTTTTTCCTTGACCAGTGTTCCATTTATGATGTTGTAGAAACTGAATGATTTATTCTGGAAACAATTCTACTTGTAGGAATTGGCAACTTTGTGAGGAAACTAATGACCTGCTAAGCAAGGTTAGCATAGAATTTATTAGGTTCTTAAAGGTACTACAAAAAAAGAGAAGCAGTTCTTGCTAGGAATCTGCTCAAAAGTAGCATATGTTTAGAGTTTGTTAAGCTTTTCTTCAATTAAAAAAAATCGGTCTTAATAGAGTACATTAAATTCTTTCTTATCTACATCAACCATGAAAACACATTTCACAGAGATAAACAGATTAGAAATTTTTCATTCCTATACATTTTTTAAATTGACTTATAGTTGATCTACAATACTGTGTTAGTTTCAGGTATATACCAAAGGGATTCAGATATATATATATATATATATATATGTGCTTTTTCAGATTCTTTTCCATTATAGGTTATTACAAGACATTGAATATAGTTTTTAAAATTGAGGCACTATGGTTTTTCCAGATTAGGATTTTAAACATAGGCATCTAATGTAAATCTTCACTGTAAAATTACAATAACGAAAATGTTTTTAAAGATTAAACTCAGATGGAGAGGGATGACAGAAGAGCAGACAATAGGAATAAAATTTTGGAAACAGGAGTGCAGGCTAATGTATTAATGTACATTATTTAATAGACCTGAGAAAGCTAATTCCTAAGCTAGAAATCAGGAAAAAATGAAAACCAAACCAAATTGATCAGAGAATTCTCAAAGTCTTAGGAAACAACAGTTTGAGTCATCCAAAACTGGAGGATCCAAAGTTGGGTCTAAAATAAATGTAAATGTTTAAAAAATGATTGACAGGAGTTAGCTCCACAGATGCCCTCACCCGTGCGCAATCATTCAGACTGCTTTCCCCTGCCTGGGCTGGGACACCAGGTGGAGTAAAGAGCATGACTCTGCTTTGATTTCTGTGGCCTCTAGTCCTCTGCCTCCAGGGAGCTCCCACAAAGCCCATAGACCTTTATCCTTCTAGGCATTAATATCCACAGAAAAGTGAGAGGAAGTATCACATAAGTGAAACTAAAAAGAGAATTTCATTTTTAAAAAAGGAGAAAATAAGTTTTTGGAAACTCATTTGGCCAACTCGAATGAAAACCCAAAAATACAAAAAATGGAAAGACGTGTTGATAGATAAAGTTTTAGGATATATTTCAGAAAGTGGAGCAAAAATATAAAGAGATTTAAACTAATTGTAGAGAAAGTTTAAGAAAATATAGGGCTTATCTAGATAACCAACATCTGAAAAAGAACATTTTCTGAAAGAGAGAAAAGATAAGTGGAGTGGAAACAATCAACACCAGGGAGGATAATCAGTTTAGCCTGCAAATGATGTTTCAGGAAACTCATATTGGGAGCTGTCGTAACCTGATGCCCCAGGTCCTTGCATCATCTTTAAGCTGGGAACATTAGTCTTGACAATGTGGGAATAAAGTTTGTGTCTTTCCATTCCACGAAGCCTGGATCAGCTGAAAATATTCCTTTAATCCAAAAGAACTCTTCTATTTTGACCTCCTCCTAAGATTTGATGTGCACCATGGTAAACTTAGAAGCAAAACATAGAGTAGCCCGTAGCCCACCCTGCCTGAACTTATTAGGGCTGAATGTGCAGCATTTTCCTGGCACTATAGCCCTGATAAATATTTCCACTGTGATGTGGCAAATGTTTCGCAGGACTCCTCTATGACATTGACCATTAAGTTTCCCAGAAGGGGCTTTTATAAGGTCTCAGGGAAGCTCAAGTCCGACTGTGATCCATATACTCTCTTTGGTTTATTCTCTCCCAGGTGTAGTAATTTGTCCTTTCCTTACAAAGCTAAATTTGGGATTGCTACTCAGCTTTTCACAACACAACAACATATTTTGCAGGTATAAGTACGTTGGACATAAATTATAAAGAAAAGCAAAGGAATGATTAATGTTAGGTTGCTGGTTGCCTCTGGGAGTGGGAGAGGAATGTAATTAGGAAAGGTCCAAGTTCTTCTAAGGCACTGGTTATATTCTACTTCTTAACCTGGTTAGCAGGTACATGTGTAAATCAATTTAAAAAAGCTTATAGAGAGAGATAAATTGGGAGATTGGGATTGACATATATACACTATTATATATAAAATAGATAACTAATAAGAACCTACTGTATAGCACAGGGAACTCTATTCAATACTCTGTAATGACCTATATGGGATTAGAATCTAAAAAAGAGTGGATATATGTATATGTATAACTGGTTCACTTTGCTATACGGCAGAAACTGACACAACATTGTAAATCAACTATACTCCAATAAAAATTAATTAAAAAATAAAAATAACACCTTCTTACTGAGAAAAAAGTGCTTATAAATTCATACACTTGTCTGTATGTATGAATTATTCCAATATAAAATTATTTTTAAAAACGACCCATTTTCTATTTCCATTAAAGTCAAGAAGGTAAATTAAGCTAGTAAAGTATGTCACTTTTTTTTAGATTCTATAATTATATTAAATAAAGTCTGTAAAAAAGATAATTATAAGTATGTACTGGCTGTTACATTTACACACAAAAAATCTATTGGAGATAAAAGTTAATCTATTTAAGATTTGTGTTTTCTTCCATTATTTGTGTCATGTATGTGAATTTGCATGATATATATATATTTTATTTCCAGGCACTAAGTAAGTATATACAAAGAACAGTAGAAGATGGTGAACATGTAAGGAGAGAGAGAGTATGAAGTATAACCAGGCCCAATAGTATTCAATAGTTATAATTTTTCTAAGTAATATGCTTACTTATTTTTTTAAAAAAGTTTGCATCATATATTTTAGAACATTTTCTGCACTAGAAGGGTGAATTCTTTTGCAATTATCTTTCACAGTTCTTTGAATGTGCGCAATCAACTATTGCCATAGACTCATACTATCACAGTTTGGTAAGTAGATATAAACTTAATTATTCTGACTGACCTCTGCATAAGCACATAACGATCTAATTAGGAAGAGTAACAGTTCATTAAGCAATGCAAAACCCCATGTCTTTCTGCTTTATTAAAACCTGTTTTGTTTTACAAAAAGTTGATTCGAATACCATCACAACCTGTTTTAAAATGGTTAGAAATACCATTGTCATTTTTAATTTAAATCCAGAAAAAAATGGATTTACCTTTGAGTATTTAACAAGTTAAAATCATCAGATATTTGTCAAAAGTGTCTTTACTAATATAATTTATTATCTTGCAGGAGATATTTGATCATAGAAAATATGTTTTGTCTATAGTGCTAATTGTTTTGCTGAGGTTGGGGGAAAAAGGAAACAGCCAAGTATTAGGCCTTGAAGAGGCAAAAAAAAACAACATATTTTTTTTTTTTGCGGTACACGGGCCTGTCACTGTTGTGGCCTCTCCCCTTGTGGAGCACAGGCTCTGGACGCACAGGCTCAGCAGCCACGGCTCACGGGCCCAGCCGCTCCGCGGCATGTGGGATCTTCCCGGACCGGGGCACGAACCCGTGTCCCCTGCATCAGCAGGCGGACTCTCAACCATTGCGCCACCAGGGAAGCCAAAAAAATCCTATTTTATCTACTAAGAATAATTCAAACCAGCAAGAACTTGGAGTAGTCTCCCAGAAGAAATAGTTATTTCTTTATGCCATTTGCAAAGAAATATAAGATCAGGCAAAATGTTATTCAACCGATGATGTAAATAGGGAAAGAATGAATTGAATGGCTAGGGCCAAGGTGAGAGGGACTATATCAACATGGGTTTGATCAGGAGAATAAACCATCCTAGACAATCTAAGAGGTAAATTGGAGGCCAACGTTATCATTGAAAGGAATAAAAGAGAAATTACCAGGAAAAGCTTCTGCTGGTTTTAAGAATGCAAGAGAGAAGGGAATAACAGGAGACAAATGTTTAGAAGTTCATATTTCTTCAGCAAAGCTCAAGTTCAGAGCCTGGCACTGAGATAATATTATTATTAGTCCTCTACTATTAGTTGTATGGTAGTTGCAGTAATATTTATCTCTATTTTGGAGGAAAGCAAAAACTCTTTCTTCTACCTCAGCCTTTCACCTTATCTACTAGTGACTCTGAATCTTTCACTTTGTCTACTAGTGTTTGCTCTGAATCTTCCTGAATAGTAAACTAGTTCCCTACAGTTGAGGAAAAGTTGATATCTGTGTTAGTTTCTGTCTCCTGATCACCTGAAGTCCTTAAAAGACACAGCAATGAAAATGATGGCCTTTAAAAGTCCTGTGAATGATCTCACTAATGCAGATTCATACCAGATAATCCTGAATTAAATGTGCAAAATGCATGATGGACCATACAGAATAATAGTAAATGTTGCCTCCAATAATTGGCAAATTCCTATTTTTCCTTTAACGGGTTTTGGCAAATTTTAACATATGTGAGAGAGCATTGGAAAGTGAACCCAGTGGCCTCATTAACTGCTCCCAAAGCTTTTAAAGGGAGATTGAGCATGAATGTGTTTACTAATTCTTAAATCACCCACAAGAGAGAGACTTTTCACATAAAGTCATCATATGAGATACTTCACTTAGAATAAAATGTTTTACATCAGTGTTCCAAAGTTGTGCAGAAGTTGTTCCCTTAGCCTACTCCCTTTGAACATAAATTTTTCCAGATTTTGTAGCTGACCATACTTTTGCATTTAATACTTTTATCCTTCAGAATCTGTCAACTGAGAACTTTATTAATATTTAAGATTATATTAAAAAAATTGATATCTTCTTGAGCAGATCCTCCCAAATATAGGAGTGATAACATTTAGGCTCCTAACTGAGATTTGTACAAGTTCCCATTAAAATGTAACCAGACAGAGAGGAGTTTCATATTTCAGAATCAACTTTTTAGAATAATGAAGTCTATATTCCGAGATTTGTATCCCATAATAAAACACATTATTAAAGGTTATATATTGTCTCTTTTATCGGGGTCTAATTCCTCCTTGCCATGGCACTGGTGATGAACCTCAGGCAGAAGCCGAAGGTAGTATTCACAGTGCTGATACCGTCCGGTGTGCTACACATATTGTTCTATTTAGTGTTGATCATGGTCTCTCTTACCCTTTTTGGGACCATCACAATCTTGTTTTTCCATAATCGCAAACTGAGAAATATGGCAATGGAAATATTTCGGAAAGCATAAGAAGGTGAAGAGTTTAGCTTTTTTTGCCTGCTCCAAACATAGTAGAAACTCTTTCTTGAGGTAAGGTCGCCCCACGTGACGTGGCAGAAGGAACCCAGAAAGCGTTATCTGTCATGTGGAGTGACTATATGCTGGGTGTTCACTCTTCTAGACTCTGCGTGGGCTCTCAACCTCCACCTGTAGAAGGGCTAATAAAGGTGGTCAACACTGCCGGAACATTCCCCGTGGCACCTCAATCCTCAGGAAAAGTCAGTCATATTTAGCAGAGACCCCTGTGTCTACAATTTGGAAAGGTGGACCTTGAATTCCCCATGTTATCTGATGTAAAAGAAGATCTACATGTGACAGCAGACTCCCTTTGGGAGATTATTTCTATTTTCTGGCTATCATGATAGCAAACAAATTACATCTGACTTCCCTAGTAGGGAATGATGAAGAGCAAAGTTTTTATGCCATTAGACTCTGAGGACTGGGGCACTGCATTCCAAATGTCTGTGGACAATCCTTCTGCCCAGTTGCCAGTAGGGAGGGACTCCAAGATGGGGATTCCAGGCCTGGCCTGACCACTGTTTGACCATGACTCCACCCCGTAATACAAGCTCCATCTTGCCTCATTGCCTAGAAAGTCATTCAGTTGTTTTTTTGTTTGTAAAAATCATTTCTTCAATATTTTAACTGAGATGTAATTGAGTTATAATAAACTGCACATATATAAAGTATAAAATTTAATGTTTTGACAACATATACATCTGTGAAATCAACCCCACAATCAGAATAATGAACACATCCATCACCAAATCATCCCCACAATCAAAATAATGAACACATCCATCACCATTGAAAGATTCCTCATGGCACTGTCTAATCCATCCCTCGCACTCTCCCCTGCTTCTCCTGCCTCCATTTACTGTGTTAAACACATAGAGTACAGTTATAATTGTTTTTATATCCTTGTCTGCTGCTCCCAACGTATGTTCATTCTAGATTGTACCCAATTGATTGATTTATTGTCTCATTACAAATCATAATTTTCTGCTTCATTGCATGCCTGATAATTTATTTGTAATTATTTTATTGGATGTCAGACATAGTGACTTCTACCTTGTCAGATAGATTGTTTTTTTATTTCCATAAATATTCTTGATTTGGGGTCTGGAATGCAGCAGTTATAATCAGTTGAGCTAGTGTTTGCTCCAGGCCTAATTATACTCTACTACCGAGGTAAGAAAAACTCCTCTGTGGATTATTAGGTTCTTCAGTTTGTCTGGGTGGTTCTTTCCTTGGCCAAAGTACTCTCCTCACACGTGTGCACTAAGTAGTACTCACCTGGGTACTTGACTGGGAACTGCTGTGACTCTCCAGTTTCGGGCAGCTTCCTCTTCTCAGGCATTCCGTCCTTTGAGGTCTAGTTTCCCTCATTCCCCTGGACTCTTAGCTCCATCTCGACTCAGCGAATCCATCAGGTTCTGACTGGGTTCTCCCTCCCGACCTGTAGTCTGGGTACACTCTCCAGTCACTAAACTGGGACAATCGTGGGCTCACCTGGTTTGTTTCCTCTTTCCTGGGCATCACTGTGCCTTCTTCTTTGATGTCCAATGTCTTATACATCATCGTTTCGTATATGTTGTCTGTTTTGTACTTGCAACAGGTTGCAGGGTGAATGTAGTCCCTGTTACTCTCTCTGGGACAGAAATGAACTTGTCTCATCAAAATTTTATCTCCCTGAGTATTCTTAACTAAATAACACATTGTTCTCTCTTCTCTCATTCTTTTCATTTTGTGGGCTGTTATGTTTTATGTCTTTTTACTGTGATTTTAGAGATTTTTATGGGGGAGAGAAAATAGAAGCCTCCATTTAATCTGCCATGTTGAACTGTAAGTCTATGTTATCCTTTAGGGAGCTAACTCAGACTACAAAAAACAGCTTTCAGGAAAGGAAGGTTGATATAAGTATACAAGTCAAGAGTTTCTGAGGTAATAGAGGCAATAGAGTATTGAAGAACAAAAAAAAGACAGTGACACTGAAAATATATGGTAAGAAAGGGATTTGCTAGACATATATAATTTTTAATACTATTACAATTATGAAGAAATTGGGATAAATAATAAGAGGGAAGTTACCAGCTTGTGTAACTGACTGGAGTCTTTTATTGAGATAGAAAACACAAATGTTGACATGGTTTTAATTAATATGAATGTGTTGAGAGGGAGGGAATGGGTTTTTATTTTGGACAACTTTTATTTGAATTGCCTCCGGGAATTCAGAAATTGAGTCCAGAAAGAAATATCTGTCTTAATTAAGAGCAATCTTGGATTTGGTTTTAGTCAGCATATAGGTCAAAGATGAAGCCAATGGAATGGTTTGGGTTTTCTTGGAGGAGTCTGTATTTATAAGTAAAACACCGAAGAGAAGAGGAAAAAAAAAAAAAAGAGGATAAGGAGAGGAGAAAAGAGAGATTCCTGGTGGGAGAGGAAGACTGGCATTAAAGTACTTCATGACTTAGAAAGAAGCAATGCTAGTGAAAGAGACAAAAGAAGAGTATTAGGGCTTCCCTGGTGGCACAGTGGTTGAGAGTCTGCCTGCCGATGCAGGGGACACGGGTTCGTGCCCCGGTCCGGGAAGATCCCACATGCCGCGGAGCGGCTGAGCCCGTGAGCCATGGCCGCTGAGCCTGCGCGTCTGGAGCCTGTGCTCCGCAACGGGAGAGGCCACAACAGTGAGAGGCATGCGTACTGCAAAAAAAAAAAAGAAGAGTATTAAATAGATCTCAGAAGAATTCACAAACATTAATTTGAACTGCAATTTGGAAAGTTTAATTAGGGACAAAAAATGCACTAAATAATGAGAGCATAAAAGGAGTTATTTGATTTAGCAAAAGTAAATTATCATTCACTATGTTAAGAAAAGTCCAGATAGACCTGTCTCTGTGGTGGCAATACTAAAATGGCTTGAGGAATAAAGAGTACGTGAAGAATAAAAAAGATTCAGCATAGAGCACTGTTTCAAGAAGTTTAATTACTACAGAAAGATTAGTCGGCTAACAATTAAATGGGGAAACAATGTTGAGTGTTTTTTCTTTGTTTTTTTTTTTGAAAAACAATCACATGTATTTTGCAGATTTTTGAATGAATGGTGGATTTGGTAAGAAAGAAAAGTGCTTTTAAGTTTGAATCTAATGAGATGGTAGAAGAGAGAGATGAAATATAAGAAAGGACATTTGATAAGTGACAGAGCGATGCCCAGAGGAGACAGCAGAGGAAAAAAAATCACAACACAAGTTGAGCAGTCGAAGGATTTTCTAGCATTCATGTATGTTCTGCAGTCCTTTGAATTTAAAGATTACATTGTTTATGTGAGCACCCATGAGATGTATTGTTTGTTTAAAGGCAGTTGAAGACTCTTTATTGGTGGCCAGTTAGACTGGTTCTAATAACTGTCCACTAGACTCACACATTTGCTGTATATATGAAATCAATTAAATGATTAAATAAATATCTCTTCTACCTTCAAAATATACCATGAACCTGCCCACTTTTTTCACTTCCGTTGCTTTCCGCCTGGTTCAAGCCATCATTACCTCTCACTCAGATGACTGCAATAACTTCCTCACCGATGCCCTGGCTTCCTTTCTTGCACACTTAAAAAATACCTTTAAACTCAATGTCATAGCGTGTCACATCTCTGCTCAAACCTGCAGGGGTGTCCACATCCTATTGGGAATAGGAACCAAGGCTCTTACAATGATCCCCAAGTTTCTGCCCTGTGCGGCTTGTCACTACTGCTTTGACCGCACCTCCTACTACTGTACCTGTCACTCCACTCCAGCCCCACCTGTTTTCCAACAACTCACAACACCTCCACCTTAGACCCTACACACTGGGTGTTCCCACTGCCTAAGTCCCCTTTCTCTAGAGATTTATGTGGCTGTACTTCTCACCTCTTCTGATTCTTGTGGACCTCTCTGCCTTCAGGTCTTTGCTTTTATATGACTTGTCATCATGTCTTATCCGGCCGCCCTATTTTTCATTGAAAGTAGCTTCCTGCCCCTGATCCTCTCCATCCCCCTTGCCTGGTTTATATTCAGTTATTTAATTTATATTATTTAACTCCATAGTATTAATCATCTTTAGTACTAACACATAACTTACTCATTTGCCACGTATACTGTCTGCCTTTGCTAAAATGTCAGCTCCAGGAGGCAGGGACATTTGTCTGTGTTGTTTTACTGATGTTTCCCAAGCATCCAGAGGAGTACCTAGCACAGCTAGTGTTCACTAAATAGTGTTCAAAAAAAAAATGCATATTCAAGTCTTAAAACTGTAAAGGTGCCCAGCTCAGTTCAACCCATAAATCACTCCCAACATCTCTTCTTCAATCCAAGACCAGGGAAGAAGGTGTGGGTCCACATAAGGTCTACACTTTTCCTACTATCCTTATGGTTTGACCTTGGTTTAGCTTTGAGTCGCTCTTATGTCACCTTCTCCACTTTGTCACAAATGTCAGTCACTACTCAATTTGGTTTCCTTTTTTAATAGTGTATTCCCTTCCTTTGGTTTACAAATATGTAAAGTATTCGAGATAATGTTCTTTGGTATATTTGACCTCATTGAATTCCAACCTCATTGATTATCTGGTCCTACAATTACATCCCCAACTGAAGAATAGCTCAGCATCAAAGAGCAGAATAATTGACTTTAGTTTTATTTTAATTTTCCCTCACCATTTAAAAACTGAGGAATCAAAAAAGTTATAAAATATTTTAACTAAAAACTATAAAGTTACCTTTATTTTCTGTAATATGCTTAAAAATATACATACAAGAAGGAAAGAAGTTTGACTTCTGTTATAGTTCCAGCCCTGCCAGAAAAATCTGTGTAACCTCAGGCAAATTATAAACCTCTCCAGACATCAGTTTTCTCTTCTGTAAAAACAACAGCCACAAAGAAACAAGGATGTTGGATTAGATATATAAAAGAAATCACCAATTTCTTTTCAGTTGTGAAATTCTCTCTATTAAAAAAGTATCTAAAAGATTGTCACAAATTACCCAGTGTTCTACACCTAATAAAAACATGAATCACATTGTTCTTTATTTACTCCATGTGGAATGTTTCTAACAATTGTGTTTATATGTGATTACATTTTATGATTTGTTATGGTTTTACTTGATAGCTAGATCCTGGGTCACAGACCTTGGTCTAATTTATGCTTGCTAACACTGAAGTTTATTTATGGCACTGAATAAATGATAGTGTAACAACACATTTGAAAATATCTGCCTAAGAGACAAGAGTTATTGCATTAATTTGCATTTTTCTTTCTAAAATTTAGATAAATACAAGTATTTATGGAAAGAACAAATGTTGTATGTTGGCTCTAAGATTTGTCTTCAGTATGGAATACTGGGGTGTTTATCCCTCATGTTATCTTGTTGCTGAGCTCTTTTCTAAGAGTTGTAGGGTAGTTTAGGTGACAGATATGAAAGCAACGCTGATTCAATTACATTTTCTATATTTTTCTCTGGTTATTTGCAAAAAAAAAAAAAACCCACCCCCAAACAGCTAAATCAAACCAAATTCTAAAAGTATGACAGGCTGTAAAGAAAATTAGTGATTAATTGTAATTCAGATTTACAACAGTGTTTGTTTTTGAATGAATTAAATTTCCATTAAAATGTAAACCAAGAGCAAGCCCAGAGAAATTTGATATGTGTTTGGTAAAGCAAATAATTGTTACCATTTCTAAAACCTTTGGCTGGGAAATTTCTAGTGAAAAATATCTGTAAGTGATATTTATAACTAAAAACAAAAACAAAACCTTAATTTTTAATTCATTCTCTTCCCAAAGTCTCAATTATATTCTCTCAATTGCAATACAAATTAAACTATTTCTCTTTGTGAGGTGCACACATGTTTTGAATGGAGATGAGTTTTTAATCTAACCACACCACAATGGGTGCAGATCCTGGCTCTACTAGTATTAGCTGAGTGATTCTGTCCAAGGCACTTGGCCCTTTGAATTCGCAACTTCCTCAGGCACAAAACGTAAATCATCCTTCCTTAGTTGGATCGTTGCCTTGATTAGTGATGTCTTAGGTGTCAGGCTCCTGTGATAGAAACTGACACATAAAAGGCATAGTCAGTGCTGGTTCCTGCCACCTTTTACTTCTTTTTACTCCAAATTCTGCTCTCGAACTAACCTCATGGGATATAGACTGGAAGATTCTAGAAATTTCGTATTTCCATTGCTTCTGCTTTTATGCATCCGTTAAGTTCATTATTGTAAAAACTAAGATTATTTAACAGCAGGCCAGCCTGCTCAAGTTAAACAAGGTAACGAATGACTGGCTCTCCCGTGTGGATATGATGAAGCACAGAATGGGGCGTGGTAATGGTAGTTGGTTGAGGGTGTTAAGATATTGACAGTTATTGTGCTTTTTTATTTTAATATCTTGACTTTGAAGTAAACATATGTTTTAAGCCCTATCATTCGATGGGAAATTCAGACAGGGAAACCTATACATAAGTACCAAATGACTGAGTTAGATAAAAGTATGTACAAAATTTACCACTAAAAAGATAACAGTATTATCCTGTAAATGAAAAAAACATATTATGGAATCAATTATGGAAGATTTCATAAAAGAGTTTAAGACAAGTTTTATAGGAAGGGAAGGGTATTCTTGTGTAATAAAGAGTAATGACAAAGTCATTCAGAAGTACTCTTTGCCAGAAAATCCTGTGTCTCAGAGAACATTTGGTGCTGGCCTGGAAATTTCTAAGCTGAATCTCACTCTAAAATGGGAAAAATGCAGGAAAAGTTCATATACAGCAGGATCATTTTACCAGATTTGTTTTGGAAAAATAAAAAAAAAAAAAACTTTCTTTCCACTGGTTATAACTCACTACTGAGTCAGTTTCTTGTTCATGAAATGCTTAATTTCCTTCCAGTTTCACTGAGTTGTCATTTCTCATATTTAATGCTACCTTTGTATGACTAACAATTGCTGGATATCAAATGAATATGACAGTCCCCTCAGACACAACAGATTTTTCTGTGTATATGATTAATACTGAATGATTCACTGATATTAGATGTAGTACATATTAATTAGTATCTTTCCCTTGACATGAACTCTGTGAAGGCAAAAGCAAACTTCAAGCATTTTTTTCTCCGGAAACCAACAGGCTCTATCTAGTTAAAATTGTGACACAAAGTGATATGTTTTTCTTGGCAACTTTCAATTCCATTCCTATATTCTTTTTGTTGTGCTCCTAGCACTAAGGGAGGGTGCCCTATACTAATAGCCTATGGAACCAACATCATTATGTCCACTTGCTCTGTGGTTCTACTCCATAAAGAGCTCATATTTAAGCTAAAGTGTTGAAACGGGTAATGAGATTTTATCTATTCTATAGGAGGACATTTCATTCATTCTATAACTATTGTATAATTTTTCCTATTTTATTTTCATCCAGCAAACATTGACTGAGCATTTAGAATGCATTGGGAACATAAAGACTTCAAGAAACACGAAGATGAATATTACATATTCTGTGATTTCAGTGAGTATGCAATATTGTAGAAGGAAATATTTATAAACTAATAAACTATTATAATAAGAAGAGCAATAAAAGAATTATAGACAAAACATCATGGGGCACAGAGAATTGAATACCTCTGTAGCATTTCAATATTCTCAAGTTCACGTAAGTGAGAACTGTGGGTGTTTACGTAATTCTGATAGTCAGTATTGGGCTCGTAAAAGGTTATTCATATAAGGTAGGTGACCAGCTAATCAATTAGTACAGTGTTATCCTTACCAAAGTATATAGTTTTCACATATATATTTAAAATTTAGTATGAACCAAGTGTTATTGGGACTGTAATTGTGTTGCTCGTTTGATCAAATCTGATCACATAACTTTTAAAACTTCTTACTACTGGTATTTTTGAATGGTTAGCATAGATAAAAATGAAAAGTATGAGAAGCAGACTGGTTAGAGTGGAATGGTTCCTTTGAGACATCAGTCTCATCCAATTCAGATCACATGTGTTAAAATGTTATTGAATGGATTTCCACATTTAAAAAATGGACCATTTCAACAGCAAGGGAAGATATTGTAGGTAAAAATCAAAGGTGAAAATCTATAATAGATGACCATTCTGTCTGTGGTATTTTTGCTTCTTGTGGAAATCAAGATGTTGAAAGCAAGGCTCAGTCACTGCCTCCATGACTTGTTCTCAACTCTCAATGGTATAGAACTACTTACTGAAATCTGCTCTCCTATATATTGGGTTGTGAATTTTGAATGTCAGAGATTTTCTCTAGTTTATTATCAACCGTTTTATTCTGTGGCTTTTTAATTTATAGGAGTTTTGAAATTCCCCTTGTTTGAACAATCTAAGTGGTCAGCTATCTTTGTATAGGCTTGTAACCCAAAGAAGTTTCAAAACCCTCACACTATGAATCTACCATTTATCATTCAAGTCATTAAAAATTAAAGAAGACACAGACAACTGGGATTAATATTCTACATTTTAGAATTGTTTATATCTGAACATAATAATAGAAATAATTCCCAAAGTATATTTTCTTCTCTGGTTAGCACAACATCTACCAGATGCTTACAAAGTCCTTTTCTTTTTCCTTCTTGATTATCTTGGCATTAATGTGGCAGTCAGCTTATGTCTTTTATTCTGCTTATGTCTTTTATTCAACTCATAAAATCTTGGCCACATGTAATTTTTAACATTAAATTCTTGATTCATTCCTCCCACCCAATTATATGACACAGCTATATAATTCTGAGGTTTTATAAAAGTATAAAAACTCTTGAAATATGTGGCTTTAAAAATGAATACATCAGAATATTCACAACATATTCATCATTTTCACAATTCAGGGTACATATTTGTTATTTTTACAATATATGAATATTATTCATAGTACTAATTATTTCTAATTATTTATAATTCATATTTGCTAAGTTCTACTATTTAAAAAGTCAAGTAATTTTGTGTTATTGTATCTGGGGAAAATCATATGTGGTCAAAATGTATCATAAAAAACACGTCTTTACTGAATTCAACTTACTAGTTTTTTATTGAGATATAATTGACATAAGATTATACTAGTTTAAGACGTACAACATAATGATATGACATTTATATATACTGAGAAATGCTCACCACAGTAAGTCTACTTAACACCCATCAGCACATATAGTTACAATTTTTTTCTTCTTGTGATAAAATGCATACTGACTTGTTAGAGGGATATGATGTTCATCATCTTCATTTTAAAGGTGAAGAAACTGAAACTCTGATTAGTCATTTCTCACTGGGTGACAGAGCTGTCATTGGCGGCCCAGCAATAGAGCCATAGTCTCAGTTTTCCTCTCATGCCACATGTCATCTGACCCGACGAATTAAATGAGAGTCCAATCCATGGTTCTCAAGACTTGGTCAAAAATAGAGATAGTGATGATATAAAGATCTCAGGCAGTATTATAAGTGTTATAAAACTGATGAAGTCTTCCATCAGTCTAATTGTTGTTTTACAAGTAATCTCTTGTTTCTTTCTGGGTGCTTTTAGGACTTCTTTATTTATCTTTATGTATTTGCAGTTCAGCAGAAGCAGAGAGAGGAAGCAGTGGCATCAACAGTGTCATTGATTTTCAGAGAAGTTTTTTTTTCTTGAAACTATTTAGCATGTAATAACTATCGATTAAACTCAGAGAGGAGGGTCTTGGAAAAGGTCAGTGTTTTTCCTTAAAAGAAATCATGCAGGAATGGAATCAACATTCACATTTTGCTGGTTTTTTATTTATTTATTTATTTAATTTACTGTTGGCTGCGTTGGATCTTCATTGCTGCGCGCAGGCTTTCTCTAGTTGCGGCGAGCAGGGGCTACTCTTCGTTGTGGTGCACTGGCTTCTCATTGCAGTGGCTTCTCTTGTTGCGGAGCACAGACTCTAGGCGTGGGGCTTCAGTAGTTGTGGCTCGCGGGCTCTAGAGCACAGGCTCAGTAGTTGTGGCGCACCGGCTTAGTTGCTCCGCGGCATGTGGGATCTTCCCGGAAAAGGGCTCGAACCCGTGTCCCCTGCATTGGCAGGCGGATTCTTAACCACTGAGCCACCAGGGAAGCCCCATTTTGCTGCTTTTAAATTAGTTAAATTTTTAAACTAGTTATTAAATAGTTTGACCATTATATCAGCATTAAAGGCTAACAATTATCTTACAGTTTCTTGTTATTATTTTCTAGTATTTACCAGTTTTAAAGACTCTTCAAATTAATCAGTGTTATTTGCCTTATTGAATTTTGGAATCCATTCTTGGCAGTATATATGTATATGCACATACACACCATATATATGCATGCATATGTGTGTATATGTATGTGTATATATATATATATGTATGTGTGTGTGTATATATATATAGTTTCTTACATCTTACTGATTTCTGGGTTCAAATGTCTTTCTTCCTGAAGTATATATTTGGTAAGTTTTTCATGAAAATCATATAATTCCATTTTTCTTTTAAAATCTCTGCTTCATTCCTCAAAATTGTATGTAGTTTACTGTCACTTTTCAATGATAGTTTACTTACCTTCTCCCACAACATGGAAATAGCACCCCATGTTTTTCTGTTCTCTCCTGTTGCTATCAAGACTTTCATTAATCTAATTGTTGTTTTGTAGGTAGTCTCATTTCTTTCTGGGTGCTTTTTAGCCTTATTTACTTGTCTGTAGTGTTCTACTTTTACTACCATGTGATCAACTATATTTTTTTATTCTGCTCAAAATTTGGAGCATTTTTAAATTTTAAGATCTTTTAAGATTTTAAGATCTTTCCTCAGTTCTGAAAATATTTTCAAATACTATTTCTCTTCCATTGTTTCTATTCTTTTTCTCTGAAACTTCTTTTATAGATAAGTTACAGATTGTCTTTCTATATTTTATGTTTCCTTTCCCATCTCCTTAACTCTCTGTGCTGATTTGGGGTGATTTTTCAATTGCTGCTCAACTGTTAGTTTTTAATTTCTATATGTTCTCCAAGTTTCTTATCTGTCTCTTTGTTTTATTTTCACACTGCTTTATTACTTACTTAGGGGATCCTTACTTTGTATTTCTCCAATCATTTTAAAGGTAATTATGTTTTAATCTCCTTGAGATTGAAGTTTCAACATCTCAAGCTTTGGGGGAACACATTTCTCTTTGCAGTAACTACTACCTTTGTTTACAATGGATTGTTTCCTCTCTTATTTGCAATATTTTTAAATGATCCCATCTTATGTCTGACATAGGTTCTTTCTTCCATTGTAGAATTCCTATGCAGCATGAGTTGTTGAAGTTTCTTTCCAAATAGTTTTTTCTTTCCCTTTGTTTTTGTCAGAGGCTCTGGCCCTTGACAAATTTATGTTCATTTCTCAGTTTCAGCTTTCCTATATTGTGCAATTAGTGTAAATTCTGGCCTCAAATAGATTAAGAGTTTTGTTTTTCATAGGAGAGAAATATTCTCACCTAGGGCTAGAGGGAGGCATATTTACCGTCATCTCTCTGAATAAGAAGATAGAGTGTATTAGCCCCCTCTCACTAGGGTTGTGGCCTATAATTAGCCATGTGATGCCATTCGTCATCTACCGCCTCTTCTCCTGGTGCCCTAATGATCCTCCAGGCCCTCCAGGGCCGTCACTTTCTGCTCCTACCAGGTCCTTCGGTTTCTTCTTCATTTCTGGACCCTACACATTTGCTTTCTTTTATTGTGAGCTTGAACTATTATTGAAAATCATATATTTGCTTTTTCCAGAATCCTTTGTTATTTATATGGGGAAAGATTCTGGCTATCCTAGTCTACCGTTTTGCCAGAATCAGACAAATTTATTTTTACTCCGTTATTTTAAAGCAGGTTTTCTTCTATACTTGGGTAGACGCCATCATCCCTAATCACAGAATAATTTGCAATGAGGCTTATTTCTGCACATGGGCCTGAAACTCTCTTTACATAAAACACACACACACACAATAATATATACATGTAAAAGAGAGTCAGATGGTGAGATGAGATACAATTTAGCATATTTATAACTTGCTCCATACTAATGGGGACAGAATTTGTTAGGAAGACCTGTTGTGCATGCCAAGAGAAGCCGGTCCAGGAATGCCAAGAGAACGCCTGCAGGGAGGATATTGTACTCAGAGGTTGGACTGAGGTAAATGCATTGATAGGATACAGTGCTTTCAAAACAGGAAGTATATTAGAATCACTTAAGGAGCCTTTTAAAAATAATCATAAGCCTAAAACTGCTTTCATGTGTTTAGCTGGGCCTAGGAAGCTGTACTGTGGTAAGCACTCCAGGTGATTCTATGCAGGTAGCTTATGGTATATGGAGCTGCTTTGGGAACCATTGGGAAAAGGCAAAGTAAGAAACTGGGGTAAGGAAGCTGGTTTATAAAGTGCTTTGAAGCTTCCAATAAGGAATCTATGCTTTACCTGGATGCATGACAGGGAGACCCAATTCCCA